TATCTTCCATCCGTAAAATGAATGCAGGGAAGTTAGCAGATTATAAAAATTCACAGCAAATTACGCAAAAGTAATACTAACTTTATATGGATACATTTGTCCTTCCATGAAAATTATATGTTGGTTGCATCTGTGTCAATTTACCATGTAAAGTACTTTTTAAGAACGGGAGGAGAGAAGACATCGAAAGCAGTTTGAATGTTGCACACTTCCAAATAACACCATATAGGGAAATACCATATAGGGAAATAATACTCTCGCTGAAGACTGGGGAGTGGGGGGGGGGAATCTCCGTTAAATTCAAACATAGGAGAATAAACCAACAACTTTCGCTCATTTTCTAGATTAGATAATGATCTATACCATAAAACGCATCTTTAGAAGAGCAATTAGGGCGGATCTGAGAAGGATCAGAGACGGTAGGAGGAGAGCCGGTGCAGCTGCGGTCTAAGGCCAGGGTTGGCCACCCCTGAGAAGCTGAGCACGTGGACTGGGCTGAATAAGGGAACCTTATCACACAGGATGAGTATTTTCCTGACCCTACACACTTTTAGACTCTTCTCAAAATTCTGAACTTAGGACTTGGCAAGAATTTCTCTGCTGCCTTCCCAGCAGGTAGTCTATTTTATCCAGCCACTTTCCCTAGTGAAATGTTGATGGCTCTAAGCCTTACCTCTGCAGTTTGTAATACAAAGATTGCTTTCCTTTGATTACGCCTCTCATATTCAACAACAGATAAACCATTAGGAAGAGATTTTATTTAATTTTTATTATTGATCAGAGATTTTGTTTAATTTTGTTTATTATTAATTCATTTAGATTTTTATGGATTCTTTTTTAGATTCTGTTTATTATTGATTTCTAAAATTTGCCCCAAGTTAATTGTTTTAAATTTCCCCAAGGTAATATTTTATTTCCTGCAGATAAGTATTTTTTTACAGGAATCATCATTTTTGCCCGATCAGTAAATGTCTGGATTAAGCCAGAAAAATTCCAAGATTGGGTACCAAAACAGCTACTAATACCAAGCAAAGGATATCTATAGAAAATGGAGTCTCTTCCTGGCATCCCTGCCAATGGATCTGTTTTGCGGCTTCATCGCTGACCAGTAAACGTCCGCGTTATCAGAAAAAGTCCCAGGGTAGAAGCATTCTTTCGCCAATGCTAAAGTCAAGGCAGCCTGCAAAGCCTAATGCAGCAATGGCTGTGCCCATAATAATAGCTCCCAACACAGGAGACGGCTGTATTTCAATTTCTGCATCGTTTTGTGGAGTCACATGTAGCTAATGACACTTTGGTTTTCCAAGTGGCTAAGGTTAGAGGAAAAGTTGCATATGTGATTTTTCAATTAAGATGTGATAGACCCTCTAGCATAATTTGCCTCCACCTCTGTTCATAGAGGAGTGAAGGAAAGAATAAGAACACTTTCCATATAAATCTTTCCTTAGAAAAAGCAAAAGTATCTTATGACACATCATCTGAATTTTTGCATTTTCACATTATATAGTTGCATTTAAAAAAATATTTTATTTAATATTTTTATTTTATGTGTGTGAGTATATTGCCTGCACGTATGTGAGTGCACCCGTGTCATGCAATGCCGCGGAGGTCAGAAGAGGGCTTCCGATTCCCCTGGAACTGGAGTTAAGGACAGTTCATAGCCACCATGTGGGTGCTGGGAATTGAACCCGAGTCCTCTACAAGAGCAGTCAGTGCTCTCAACTGCTGAGCCATCTCTCCAGCCCTATAGTTGCATTTTAAATAAAAGCATAAATAGCTTTCCCTTCAAAACCAAAGGGAATGAGCATTGTTAATTCATAATTAATATATAACATTAATTTTTCCACATTGGAGTCAACATGAGTTTGAAAACACCTTATATTTGGAATAATATATTAAATGAATTATCACTCTCTGATTAAAAATCTTTACTGGTTTTGCCAAACCTAAAGAACGTTTTTGTCTTCTAAGTCTCCAGGATTAGAAAACACTTATCTCCTCCAAACAGCACAGCTGATAGTTGTTTGGTCTTGTTTCAGTACAGGTTTAATTGGTTCACTTTAGTAATCCTGGAATTTCTGGGCTGTGGCATAATTTCATAACAAGAGTCAACTGTTAGACTGAAACATATACTTCAAAAGCTTAGTTACAATACATTTTTCCAAATCCAAAATTCCATGGCTTGATTGAGGAATCTCTAGACTTTATCCTGTAAATCTGACCTAATTCTTAGCTGCCTGTAGTTGCTCAGAAAGCTAACCCTTTTGCAAGAGGGAAAGCTACGGTTCCTAGCATGTAGGAATGCAGGTGCACTCAGGCATTGCACTAAAAAGGCATTGCGAGGTCCTCTACATAATCAAACAGGGAAGACGAAGAGAAAGTTGAGTGAACAAGTTTTCTTTTGGCTGTTATTCCTCAGTAAAAACTTGTTTTAAAAATATACAACTATTTACATTTAATTAAGTAATTAATTAATTAATTAATTAATTAATTAATTAATTTGGGCAGAGGTAGTATGCATGTGCGGTGGCATACCTGTGAAGGACAGAAGATGACCTGCAGGAGTCTCCTTCCTTCAACAATGTAGGTCCCACAGATTGAACTCAGGTGGCCTGGCTCTGTGGCAAGTGATTTAACCTGCTGAGCCATCTCTCTGGCCAAATGAGAATTGGTTTTTGAAGAATGTTCATTTTTATGAGGGCAGAAATTCATGAAATGTTTTGATTTCATTCCCAGTTTAGCAAAGCAGATTATGAGAACATTTACAATGATATTTTCTCAGTTTATTGTCCACTGTGTGATGTGGAAATAAAAACAATCATGTATTTGAAGTGTATCTGTAACTATTTTAATTTATCAAGGCTATTCTGACTAGTAAAATTTCTGTTAGGAATGATAGAATGATGGAATTGTTTATATTTTAGAGTAGTCACAGACTATTTGCCAAGCAGGAAGTTTTATACCCACTGAAAATCCATAGAACTTTACATTTCTGGCTTGGGTGTTATATGTGATTTTGTGGATATTATGAGTTGCCCTGTACAATGCTTTAAATTCTTCTTTCTGCTATGATTTTATAGTCATTTCCACTGTAACATGCAATAGTGCCACCACTCAACTCACCAGCAAAAGCTGATACATTCCCCATACTGATAAAAATCAAACCCAACTGAAACAGGCAAGTCAGCTAGAATCAGTTACTTACAGAGGAACTGAAATTTTAAAAATTAAATCATAAACTTCCTTGCACTGCATTTTGGTAATACTGCAGTTCCACTTTGTAGTCATGTAAACAGCTTAATTTAATTTGAATCAATTCTTTTTTTAAAATATTTTATTATTTTTATTTTATGTGTATGAGTGTATTTCCTGCATGTACATGAGTGCAACCTGTGTCGTGCAATGCCGCAGAGGTCAGAAGAGGGCTTCGGAGTCCCCTGGAAATGGAGTTAAGGACGGTTTGTAGCGGCCATGTGGGTGCTGGGAATGGAACCCAGGTCCTCTGTAAGAGCAGTCAGTGCTCTTAACCACTGAGCCATCTCTCCAGCCCCAAATTTGGATCAATTCTTAATTTTGAAAACTTAACTAGAAATAAAACAAATTTTTCTTATGTAATAAATATCTGAAAAAAAATCTTAGCAAACAGTGTGTAAGTAGCAGAACATTAAAAGACAGAATCATTGCCTACAGCAAAAGAAAAGGTTGTGTATTATACTTAATAATGTCAATATGGTTTTACAGTTCTTGGCCATTATAGTAATAATTCATTATAAGTACTAATTATAATATTTTCGTGTATATGGAAAAGACTACCTACTTTAAAGAGTCTGAATATAAGGTTTATAAACTAATGCTCAGGTAACATCATTAGAAAATATAACTGAAAAAAAGGCTCACTCTTTCATAATGTATTAATTGCATTTGAATAACTTATAAAATTTTTCTAAAAGATATAATTGAGCAACTGTATCTGCCTTTCTTTTCTGGGTTGGGAAGTATTCAGTCACCAAAGTTGTTATTCTTCTTCAGTGACTAGAGGTTGCAAAGTGGATAGTCAATCAAATTGTGCTGCCTATGTGAAAAGCTTGGGGGAAATTACTAACTCTATGTTATTCACTTGATATAAAAGTGCTTGTAAGTTAAGCACTGCGCTGGTTCCCACCTATAATTTCATTGCTTTGGAGGCTGACACAGGAGGATTGCAGTGTGTTCAGAGGCAGAGTAGGTTAGAAAGTGATACCTTACCTTAAAAAAACAAAGTAAAAGTAAATCAAATATCTATCATATGCCTAGTTACCGATTGTGAACTTCCTCTATGGATGAACTGAGCGATTTTGGTAGGGTTAATCACAAAATCAGAATTAGCATTACTGACAATAGAGAAAAGCATCAACATGCACATTATAATCAAAATGGCTTTCAGAAGACAATATACCACATATATATTCACAGGAAAAAAGAAACCAAATAAATTAGATATCACAAATAATTTAGATTGCACATTAACTTTTATTATCTTTTTATCCTAATACATTGATTCTTATCTATAAGAGTTTCAAAGCCATGACAGTCTAAGTTGCAAGTGATGCTTTTAGGAAGGATTAGAATTATATCTGAAATAAATTAAAAGCTCTCATTTAGTATAGATATTTACAGATTTCTTTATTAGTTTTGCACAAAGCTTTTTAGCGTGACCTTTAAACCATAGAGATGGAAGAACTTTCATGATAATTACAAATTAAATGATTATACCAATTACAGTTTTCAGAAACATGTTCAAAGCACTTTCTTGAATTTTAATGTGATAGAAAATCAATTATGGCAGTAAAATAAACTACTTTATTTTTTAAACGTACTATCAAAAACTACTAAACTACAAACCACTACCAAAATTATGTTTCTAGATTAAATTTGAATTACTGCTATGAGAAACACTATCTGTGAATGTTTCATAATGCATCTATGCCAGAAGAGAGAAAGGCTTTCTGTTTTAATCTTACCTTCTGCCGCACAAACAGCCCATAGTATAAACCAAATAATTCTTGTTGGCAGTTTCATGTTTTGGATCTTTTAGGGGTGCATTGAACAGGGGAGAAGTTAGACTGTTCAGTTCTCCTCTGCTAAGAGAAAACAACTGTGGTTAGTGCAGGAAAATACTTGTCTCTAAAGAAAGTTGAAACACAGTTTAGTAAATCTGGGATTACTAGATGCTCTGCCCTTCAGAAACTTCTGCAAAGTAAACAAAAAACAGTCCACCACAGGCTCTGCTCTTACTGTGGCCTGGCTCTGACCTCCTGGGAGTTGTTTTTTAAACCCCAGCCTGTTCTGATTGGGAACAAGTTTTTGTTTCCGGGAACATGAGAAGCAGCAGCTGGCAGTAACCTCTGGATTTCATAAACCCTCAGCTGTTTCCACTGTGTGCGAACCACAGAACAGGAAGTAGGGAAAGTGCTTTTAATAATCATTTACAGAACTTCAGTTAGGCAATGTTTTCACAATCATCACCCAGACGCAGCAAGGAAACTGCCAGAATTGCCCTGCTGAGCACTTAGGAGGAGGAGATTACTTTTCTAGCAAGACATGAAATTAGTCAGCTAAGGACTTCTTTTTATATGTGTGTGAAGAAACTGGTTCATATTTCACTGGATATGAATGAGTAATTCAGAAATCAAGCATTTTGAATCCTGATTTCCTAACTTTGTACTGAGTTACAGTGTAGTAATGAATACAAAGATACAAACAAATCATTTGGTGCAGGTTGAGTTGTTACAGACAGAACCTCAGCAGACATCCCAAGGTCTGACCCCTCCATCTGGAACTTCCACTCTGCGGGGTTTCCAGTTCCAGTCCCAGTCCCTGTGTCCGTGTGCCCCCACCCAAGAATCTCTAAGAACATGGCCTGCATTTGCCTGTAAGGTGGAAAGGAAGCTATTTACTCTCCTGTTAAGTCTCTCTTGTTCTGACTTATATTTGGAATACTCAGTCACACTGATGGACATAGCTACAGATTTTTCTTCATTCTGTATAATAATCAATTATTTGAATATATCACACCTTTCCCTTGTTAATGGTGTTTGGATAGATTCCAGCTTGGAAATAATACAAATAGTGCTGCTAACTTTAGACACTGTGGGTATTATAAGTACCTGTAGACATTTCTGGTAAGTACACACCTAGGAGTGCTATGATAGGATACAGCTTCAGTTTGTATATAATAGACAACACCAGTTTTGGGTGCATCAGTGAGCGATTTGCTCCATGGACTCAGTACTGTTTGAATTTCAATCTTTGTAATGTTAGTCTTTGTGGTGAGCATAGAGCAACAATTCTCCGTGGTTTTATTATGAATTTTCCTGGTGACTCATGAGGGTGAATAACTTTTATATTGTAATTAGCCATTTAGACACCCTCTTTGGTGAAGTGTTTATTCAAATCTTCTGTGTATCTTTTTACTATTGGGTTACCTGCCTTTTCCCTTTTGTATTGTGGCAACTCTTTGCATATTCTATATTTGAGAACATTTTCTGATGTGTGTATTATAAATGCCTTATTTAAGCCCATGAACTATCTTTCACTAAGTGATACATACCTCTTAATAAATAAAATTTATTAATTTAAAAATAGGGCATATTTACAAATATTTCCATGAATGTATGAAAACATGCATTTTTGTATCCTTGATAAGGAAGCCTTACCTACTCCAAGGATGCTGTATTAGTCAGGGTTCTCCAAAGAATGAATATATGTATAGAGATTTATCAGCTTAGCTCACGGGATAGAGTCCAAGTAGTCCAACAATGGCTGCACCACACTGGAGAGGCCGAGAATCCATAGTCGTTCAGTCCACAAGGCTGGATGTCTCAGTAGTCCTAATCTGGCACTGAAGGTCTGACAAATTCCAAAAGATCAGCTAGTCTTCAGTCTACAGCAGCAAGACGAACTCACCGGCGAGAGAGAAGGCAAACAGCAAGAACCCTAGTGTTCTCCTCTGCCTTGGTCTTTTATATGGGCTGCCATCAGAAGGTAACACCCACATTTAGGGTGTCTTCCAGCTTCAGATGATCCAATTAAGAAGATCTCTCTATGTCATGCTTAATTTTCAAATGAAAACAATGTTGAGATCATAATTTCACTAAACAGGATATAACTATCCCATATACAATGAACAATGCATTATATATCTTAAAGTAGGTGATAAGGTCTTCGAGGAATGCTTAGTCCTTTAGTGTCTCATAACCCAATATAATCATATAGGTTCACAACACTTAACCACTTAACACTTAATTACACATTCAAAAAAGAATAACACAAATATCTGCTTAATATATGTGTATACATGCACAAGCCTATTCTTAAACAAATAGGACAAAAATACTCATGTCAATTACAATCCACATTTCTGCAACCGGTCATGTGGCCTAAGTTGGTATTTGTAGCTACCTTCCTCTACTACCCAGTCTGTATTTCTGCCACCATCAGCAAGCACCTCTGCAGGTCTTGGCTCTTTCCCTGGAGGACTGACCCATACTTTCATCCCTGAAGGGTCTGAGCCATTGTTGTCCTGTCTGGATTGGGTTGTTGCAGTTTCTCATTGACCTTAATCACAGGACATGGTAACACCAGAAGTTGCCCTAAGGAATCTCCTGCCTTCCAGATATAATCTTCATTACATCCATTGTGGAGAACCAGTCCAATTTCCCCCTGGTAGTCTGGGTCAATCACCCCTCCTAATACTGTTATCCCTTTATTAGCCTGCTGACTTAAAGGCATCAGAGGCCCAAAGTGTCCAGGGGGAAGCCTTGGCTTCCAGTTCAACAGAATATTTGCTGTCTTTTCTGGCAGAAGCACTCCCTCATCTGGAACCAAAACATCCAAGCCAGTAGAGTGCAAAGTCGAGGTCATAGGAAGCAAAAATTTTCCTAGTGGGTCACCAGGGGTGGTAGTGAATGAAATCATTCCCACTTCCACCCCTTGATTCCTGGACCCGTGAATCCTGGCTATAGAAGAAACTGTACCATATACTGGATGCTGATTCAAAGCATACACTGCCTTCTGGAGGACTCTGCCCCAGCCCTCCAGGCTATTGCCACCTAATTGGCACTGTAACTGTGTCTTTAAGAGACCATTCCATTGTTCTATCAAGCCAGCTGCTTCAGGATGGTGGGGAACATGGTAAGACCAGTGGATTCCATGACCATGGACCCACTGTCGTACTTCTTTGGCTGTGAAGTGAGTTCCCTAGTCAGAAGTGATGCTGTGTGGAATACCATGAAGGTGGATAAGGCATTCTGTAATTCCATGGATGGTAGTTTTGGCAGAAGCATTACGTGCAGGAAAGGCAAATCCATAACCAGAATAAGTGTCTGTTTCTGTAAGGACAAAACACTCTCCCCTCCAAGATGGAAGTGGTCCAATGTAGTCAACCTGCCACCAGGTTGCAGGCTGGTCACCATGGGGAACAGTGCCATATCAGGGGCTCAGTGTTGGTCTCTGCTGTTGGCAGATCTGGCACTCAGCAGCAGCTGTAGCTAGGTCAGCTTTTGTCCATGCTGTCAAGCCCATGCATAACCTCCATCTCTGCCACCATGGCCACTTTGTTCATGGGCCCATTGAGCAATGACAGGGATAGCTGAAGAAAGAGGTTGACAATCCACAGAGCGGGTCATCTGATCTACTTGATTATTGAACTCATCCTCTGCTGAAGCTGCTTTCTGATGAGCATTTACATGAGACACAAGCATGTTCACATCCTTTGCCCGTTTGGAGAGATCTATCGATATACTTCTTCCCCAAATGTCTTTCTCACCAATTTTCCAATCATGCTCCTTCCAAGTCCCTGACCATCCAGCCAAGCCATTGGCTATACCCCATAAATCAGTATATAATCACACTTCTGGCCATTTCTCCTTCCAAGCAAAATGCATGACCATGTGCACTGCCTGAAGTTCTGCCCACTGTGAAGACTATCCTTCCCCAGTGCCCTTCAGGGTTGTTCCAGAAATTGGCTGTAATGCTGCAGCTGTCCACTTCTGAGTAGTGCCTGCATAGCGTGCAGAACTATCTGTAAACCAAGCCCTAGTCTTCTTTCTCTTCCTCAGCCAACCAATCATAGGGCACACCCCATGAAGCATAGGTGGATGCTTGAGAACAGGGGGCATCGTAACAGGAGTAGGAACCATAGACATTTAGGCAACTTCTTCAAGTAACTTGCTTGTGTCCTCTGGGCCTGCCCAAGCCCGCTCATGTATATACGACTTTCATTTGATAATGGATTGTTGCTGTGCATGGCCTACTTTATGGCTTGGGGGTGTCAGATAACACCCAGCTCATGATGGGCAGCTCTGGTCGCATGGTGACTTAGTGGACCATTGTCAAATGTTCAGTTTCCACTAAGGCCCAATAGCAGGCTAAAAGCTTCTCTCAAAGGGAGAATAGTTGGCCACAGATGAAGGCAAAGCCTTACTCCAAAATCCCAATGGCCTCCGCTGTGATTCCCCTATGGGGGCCTGCCAGAGACTCCAAACAGCATCTTTATCTGCCACTGATACCTCAAGCACCATCAGGTCTGCCAGATCATATGGCCCAAGGGGTAGAGCAGCTTGTACAGCATCCTGAACCTGTTGAAGGGCCCTTTCCTGTTCCAGGCCCCACTCAAAGGTAGCTGCCTTCTGAATCACTTGATATATGGGTCATAGTAACACACCCAGATGAGGAATGTGCTGCCTCCAGAATCCAAACAGGCCCACTAAGTATTGTGCTTCTTTCTTGGTGAGGGAGGGGCCAAATGCAACAACTTATTCTTCTCCTTAGAAGAAATGTCTCTGCATGCTCCACACCACTGAACTCCTAGAAATTTCACTGAGGTAGAAGGCCCTTGAATTTTGGTTGGATTTATTTCCCATCCTCTCATGTGCATATGCTTAACCAACATTGTGCTTCTTTCTTAGTGGAGGGAGGGGCCAAATGCAACAACTTATTCTTCACCTTAGAGGGAATGTCTCTGCATGCTCCATGCCACTGAACTAGAAATTTCACTGAGGTAGAAGGCCCTTGAATTTTGGATGGATTTATTTCCCATCCTCTCATCTGCATATGCTTAACCGACAAGTCCAGACTGTCTGCTACCTCCTGCTCACTGGATCCAATCAGCATAACATCATCAATATAGTGGACCAGTGTGATATTCTGTGGGAGAGTCAGGCAATCAAGATCCCTTTGAACCAAGTTATGGCACAATGCTGGAGAGTTAATATACCCTAAAGGCTTATTGTTGGCCTTTCCAGCTGAAAGAAAATTGCTT